GAACTGATCTCTGCCATCGGGAAAGCAGTTGTAATTCTGAGTGATCTCCAGCCCTCACCTGGAGATTGGACACATTTTACCTCAGAAGAGCAAACTGTTTAGAATGTTAGAGGCAAAAGCCAATCAAGTCGCATATGCAAACGACCTCTGTGTTCTGAGGCAAAGGCCAATGAGGCTGCATATGCAAATAACCTCTGTGTTCTGACAGGCTGGGGGGAGGAGAGGAAAAGCAAAATGTTTAGAATGTTGGAGGCAGGACTCAGGCAAAGCAGCCAGTGGATAGGGAGACCCTCTGAATGACAGATCAGAGAGCGAACTGATTTTGGAGCGTGTGGAATGTTCTAGAGAAGTGCCACCACCATTCGGCTTTTATTTATAAGGGAGATGGGTTGGACCCAGTGACTTTTTTCTGCTGTCAGCTGTTTTCGTCTGATGGAAAAGGTGCAGCTGCATCCAAATGTCTTTGCAAACATCAGTCTGTACATGGAGGCAGAAACGCAGCAACTGGCTTCGGAACTTCATGACTAGTTGGAGCTTCATGACTTCCCAGAATCTTTCAGTCCACAGAGAAGGAGCTGACAGAGCTCCATGGGCCAGGAATAAGGCGCATTCATACCCTGAATGGACAGACCTGTTAGTCATGACATCTGAATGCAATCTTGGTCAGAAGTTTCTTGTTTAATGAGTTGTTAGATCAGATGTATGCAATACAATCTGTTTTCAAGTTAATAATTTTTAAAAAGCAACCAGGAAAAATTATGGCCATAGTAGTGGGGAAATATTGTGAGTAAGCTGTAGAGTTTTGAATAAAAATTGCTGTTTGTAAAAGATACTGGAGTCCTTGGTGTCCTAACTTATGTTCCACACACACATCCCCCCATAATGGAGCATTTGAAAGTGGAGGGGGATGCAGAACATGAGGTGGGAGTGGAGGTAAAAAGTAAGCTTGCGGGTGTTGTGAGGGAACTGAAGAGAAATGTCATGGGCCAGGGGCATGGGTTCAAATCCCACCACCGTGACTATGTCACGGGCAGCAGCTAGAAAGGTTCTCTATTAGCTGCCATCACTCTGGTATGGGTCTCCTTGGGGAGCACCCACCCTACCTCTTTATGCTTTCCCAGTAGGGTTCCCTTGTAAGTGACCAAATGAGGCGTGAGGACCCAGGCAGAGTAACAAACTATTTTTATTAAAGAGATTTAACTGTGATGTAATGTAGGAAAGAATGAGCACAGTAAAGGGAGGTAAATCAGCAAAATAAGAAATGCTAAAACATCTGACTATACTGTCCCAGCCTTCTCCAGGTACTTGGTCTCAGATTGACTAACCCCTCTTGGATGAGGGATCCTTCCTTCTACACCAGCCTCACCAGCTCTGCTTCCTGGGCAAGGCCTTTTATTTCTTCTTCCCAGGCACCACCCTCTACTCTTCTGGAGTAAGTTTTCCCTCCAAATCCCGTTAGTCAATCACAGGGCCCAACGGGTGACTTGGGAAATGCAGGCCCAGTAGTTACTCTAATACAGGCTTCCCTGGAGCCACTAGGCCTCCCTAGATCCTGTAGGCCGCACTACTGTAGGCCTAGGATCATGACAAGAGGCCAGGAAGAAAGCATACAGAAAGTGGAGACCATGACAAGAACATAGTTGCAGAAATGGATATTCCACCTGCAGCTGGTGAAGGATATTTTTCATTTATACCCTGCCTTTTCCCCCAGTGGGGACCCAAAGCAGCTTACATTGCTCTCCTTTCCTCCATTTTATCCTCAGAACCAACTAGGGTTGCAAGGTTCAGTCGTCTCCCTGGTGGGGGGAATAGGGGGTATTCCAGGAGGGGGTGTGGCCAACCCCAGCACAATGACATCACTCTGCATGATGTGATCACACCCCCGCTTTCCCCCTATCATTTAAAGGGAAAAGGCTGGGGGGAAGCGAGGGCCAAGCGCTCCTGCCTTGCAAGAGGCAAAATTGCCTCTTGCAAGGCAGGATCCTACGCCCCCCCGCTCAGGAAGATCAGGCATGCTGGCCCAGTCCTTAGGAAGATTAGGCATGCTGGCCAAGCACTTAAAGGGGTCTCCAAGCAGAAATTGGGCCCGCGGGGCCCAGTCCTCACCAGGTGCGAGCACTTAAAGGGGCCCCCTTAAGTACTTGCAGCTGGTGGACCCCGTGGGCCTGATCTCCAAGTGGCAATGCCACTTGAAATTTAGGCACGCTGCAATTATCTGCTGGAAACCCCCCCCCCCCAAAGCAGATAAACCCTCAGGAAGTCTGGCGGCCCAAGAACACCCCTGGAGGAAGTCTGGTAGCCCTGTGAGGAAGGTTAAGCCAAGAGGTTGTGACTGGCCCAATGTCACCCAGTGAGCTTCTGTGGAAGAGCAGGGATTCGAACCTGGGTCTTTTAGCTCCTAGTCTGACAGTCCTAACCACTACACCACACTAGCTTTGGATGTCATCAAGAGGTGCTTGACACTAGGTTCATTGGTGTATTTTGTTTTCATATTCTTTATATTTTAGCACTTCTGCATTTATTGTTGTAAAAATATTTGCACTTCCTTAAGTCAGGCTTGGCAGTCAGGGTTGCTAGCTCTGGGTTGGGAAATTCCTGGAGATTTTGGGGGTGGAACCTGGGGAGGGCCAGATTTGAGGAGGGGAGGGACTTCAGCGGGGTCCACCTTCCAAATCAGCCATTTTCCCTTGGGGAAGTGATCTCTGTAGTCTGGAGATCAGATGAAATTCTGGGAGATCTCCAGGCCTCACCTGGAGACTGGCACCCCTACACTCAATGCTTTAGGTCAGCTGAAGGAGGGCAGTGTAATCTCTTTACTTTCAGTTCAGACGGCGTGGGGGGGGGGCAGAAAACTTCCAATGCATCCCAGCTCACTCACAAAAAGGCTACATATAAGTAATTATGTCCAACTCCCGCTCAGTTGCATGACTCAGCTGCTGATATGGGCCCTTAATTCATAGGTCTGCACCTTCGGACAAAAGGAGACTTTCAGACAGACAATATAATCCGGAAGAGGAACGGTTCCCAAAAGGTTTCTGGTCTGTCATTTCAGACAGAACCGTTTTAGAACCCATTCCCTACCGGAATATATTTGTAATTTCACACACAAACGCTTCTGTCCCGTTTAGGAAACAGGGCTGAAGCGTTTTACCTGTCAACCGCTTCCAAGTAGTCTTCAGTTTCCTCTCCCGGTTCTGATGCGCTTTTCCCCACCGTTTTTCACCCACGCAGGCATTCTCTGGGGGGTTTTGGGGGGAACATTTGCTTTATAGCGCTATAACGCAACAGCATTATAGGAACCCCATTGGAATGCCTAGAGTGTTGTGTTATAGCGCTATAGCGCTCTAAAGCAAACGTTAAAAAAAAAGCCAGAGATCGCCCACACGAGCGAAAAACGGTGGGAAAAAGCGGTGCAGTCTGAAATGGCAAACCGCTTCAGATCCAGCTCTTTACCGGAAGGGGAAAGCCATGTGTGAAATGGCTGCCCTATAACGGTTTACTCCAGGACGGATCTAAAATGGCTTCAACCCGGCTTCAAAAGGGTAGTGTGAAATTCCTCTTTGTCTTAAGCAAGCCCGGCTTCAACCCAGCTTCAAAAGGGTAATGTGAAATTCCTCTTTGTCTTAAGCAAGCCTACACATAAGAAGTAGATGGTTATTATCATAGCCTAGAAGTTTGAAAGGCCAGGAGGGGAGGAAGTTCCTCGGCCTGTTGTTAAACAGGAACAAAGCCCCAAACCGATTTGTCTTAACCTTCCCTGCACAGACGCTGGTTTTAGGTGAGTTTGCATGTGCAGTTTTGATGAGCACGGAGTTTACAGCGTTTTTTATTTTTTAATTAAAGGGTATTTCACCGCACTGCAGCCAAGGAAAAGGGGGGAAAGAACCAGTTAGGAACAGAGAGGTCATTTAGAAAAGATGAAAGCGAGAGAATGAATGCAAAATATTTAGACACATCCACAGAATACAATGACGATGCAATCCTGAACCCACTCCGGAGTAAATACCATTGAGTATAGTTGGGCTTACTTGTGAGTAAGCCTTTCCAAACATGCACTGCGCAAACTGCAAGAATGTAATCCCGGTTTGTTGAAGTTTCGCTCCTGCTACAACTGGTCCGTTTTCTCTCTTGACTGTCTGGTCTCGGTTTATCAGCTTTGCAATTTCCGCGCGCCCATACCGATTAGAGACCGCGGCCGCTTTCCGAGACTGCAAGTTGTCAAAGTCTAAAGTGATAAAGCGAAGGGGGGTTGTGACGTCCTGCTATCATGCAGACCAGAGGCTATTTCGTCCAGCCACTTCCAGATTAGGGTCGTAAAGACAAATCCCGCGCAGGCGGTTCATAACTGTTTGCATGGTAGCCTTTCTACACGCGATTCAACAGGAAGGAGTCGCTCAATCGCCGGCACGCTCGGAAGGGATTGCGGCGCTCTTCCCCCCAGTTTCGTACACAAAAGTCTGAGACGGAAGGCCTGCTGCTCCCAGGGCCGCTTGCCGGGCGTGCTTGTCCCTCCGCCGCTGTCCCACCTCCTTCCCCAAAGGGAGCCGGGGGAGGAGGAAAGAGGGAGGTGCCCCGCACCGTCGGAAAAAGTTTGTGGTTGGTCGAGAGCGCAAGAAGAGGAGGGCGGCCGGGACAGCAAATACCATGGAGATGGGTCCTTGCAAGCGCCGGGGAAACTCGGCGGAGAGACGTCCTCCCTTCGGGGACTAGAGAGTGCAGGTTCCAAAGTTTATCGCCGGGAGGAGGAAAAGAGGCGCAGATGGAGTGGGTAGCCCTGGAGAAGCGGGGCAAAAACTGACCCGGGACGACCCAAGAAGGAAAACCGTTTAAAGATCCCTTCTGCCTTGGCAAGAGGGGGATCCTCCCCCTGTATCGTTTCCCCCAAGCATTAGGGAGGAGAGCTGACGCAGGGTCAGGAGGAGTCGGGAAGGGCCAACTGGATCTCTGTGTCATTTTGCTTTGCGGGATCCACCTTGCCTCCAAATGGGGGTCAGGGCGTTGGCAACCTGCCGCAGCCCCTCCCTGCGATCCTGAGAAAGGAGGGCAAAGATCCCCGCCCGGATCGCTCTCCCTGCCACCCTCCCGAGCCATGGCATGGTCGGGTTGTGGCCCCAAGTGCATCCCGCCCTGGACTCCTCGTTACCGTTACCTGGACCTGCTCTTTGCCTTGATGGGCACGGCGGCGTTCCTGGTAGACCTGGCTGCGGATGTGTGGGTGGCCGCCAGCTACCTGCAGGCCGGGCATTGCTACTGGGGCGGCCTGGTGCTGGGCCTGTTGGGCCTCTCCTCGTTGACCACGCAGCTCTTCAGCTGGGCCTGGTACCGGGGCGACGCGAAAGAGCTGCGCCGGGACCAGGTCACGGACCAGACCCTGCTTACACTACACTTCCTGCAGCTCGGCTACCTGTACAGGTAGGGGAAGTTCTCACCCAGCAAGCAATGGATCTCTTTTGCTCCTACTCCCTTCCTTACTCAAGAGGAAGCTGTTTTAATTAGGGCTTTTGTTTTAAACAGAGGGACTGTAAAGAATGCTGTAATGTCTGTTTCGAAAGGTGTCCAAAGGTGTCTGGCAATGTAGACACAGCCATAGAAGAAATACTAAATGGTTATATTAAAAACCACAGGGAAGTGCATTTTTGCCTCTCTGCTAAGGAGAAGTTTTTAGGCTGCTCTTTAGGAGAAGGGGCCCAGCTGAGCCTTCCTTGGGGAGAGAGGCTTATCATCAGGGGGCTACCAGCAAAAAGGCCCCAAATTTTAAGACTAAGGCCCCGGTCACATGGGCCAGATATCGTGAGGGGGAAGCGTGGCTGTTTGCCCTGGAGCGAACTACTGCGCGGCCGCCAGATCAAACGTTCCGCCGACATCCAGTGGTTTGGGGGGAGGTGCCGATCATACGTCAATCCTGCGGTGCGGCAAAGAAGCGGCGCGGCGGGGTGTTTTTTTTAAAAAAAACCCAAAGTGTGCGCATGCGCCGTTGGGTGCTTGTGCGCATTCCGTGGAGACTTGGGGGGGGGAACCCCTTTTCTCGAGGGGACATGGACGGGCGCTGGATGCCACGAGCTACCACCGGAAACGTGATCAGACGCCCGCCCTTGCCCCGCGGTTTCTGGAAACTAGTACCTCGGAGGTACTAGGTTTTTACGGCGCATCTTCGGCGGGAAGCCTCAGGTGCGCCACGGGAGCTCTACGCTTCCCAGATGTTGCGGTTTGATCACGCCCAGAAAATCCGCCTATCTTCCGTCTCTGTAGCGTGGCGAATGCTCCGTGTGACCGCAGCCTTAGTTTGTTCTCTAGGAATGAAGCCCTCCATCTTGGCCCGGTAAGGGTTTTTCCTCAGTTACCAGAAATCTTGTTTTTAATGGTTTCAGAGGGTAGCCATGTCAGTCCGCAGCAGGGTAGCTCGATTCAAGCCCAGGAGCACCTTAGAGACCAACAAGAGTTCCAGGGTGGGAGCTTTCGAGAGTCAGAGCTCCATTTGTCAGATTACCTCAGAAGGTCATACTTCCCAAAATCTTGCTGGTCTCTGAGCTGCTGCGGGGCTCGAATTGGATTGTTTTTAGTGTGACTCAGTCAAAGGTTTTTTAAAAAGACTTATACTTGAGTTTTTAAGTAGCCAGTGCAACAAGTATCTACAAGCTCAGGACGCCAGATGGGGAAAAGGGATGGGGAAAGTGAGCTCCCTTTGATGCCTATCCAGGCATGTGGAGGATGGAGTGTCTCTGGCTCAGACAGGTGTTGTAATAGTAAAACTGATGCTTTTACTTGTACGGCAGCTCCTGCAGGTTAATAGAGTCAGTCTGGCCGCTCTAATAGCACTTGCGTAATAATTCTCTTCCTGATATCTTTGGTTCATTCATCACCTCTTTCAAAGGTCCCACTAGCAGGGACGTTTAGAGGTTGCTGAGACAGCAAAATTAAACCTCCATGTTCAGAGGCAGTATATCACTGACTATTAAATGTATACATTCCGGTTAGGCTGTTTTCATGCTGTGATCCTCAGGCATGGGATCTGTTTCACTTCACTGTGGGAGAGGGAAGTGGGAAGGATGCTGAATTAAATAGATCTGTATTCCCCCCCCCCCAATAACTCATTATATTTGTTGCTCTTCTGTCCTTCAAGTCACAGCTGACTTATGGCGACCCCGTAGTTTTCAAGGCAAGAGATGTTCAGAGGTGGTTTGCCATTGCCTGCCTCTTTATCACAACCCTGGTGTTCCTTGGAGGTCTTCCATCCAAATACTAGCCAGGGCAGACCCTACTTAATTTCTGATCCAATGAGATAGGGCCACTCATTATATATGTGCTTGCAAAGAATTACTTGCTGAAGGCCTGTAGCATATACAGACTGCATCCAAGCAATTTGCCTCTGGCTGGGTATAGACTTCCAGTTTTATAAAATGTGGTCACATCCAAGCTCAGTTACCTACAGGCAGAGGAGGCTCAGGCAAGATCTCATTCATCCCCCACTTTCCTCCCTTAGGACAAAAAGGTTTCTGGCCACACCCAGGCTTAATTACCTGGAAAAAGAGGAGGAGCAGAACTTCAGCCCTGCCCAAGATGTTCCCCACCTTTCTCCCCTGCTAGCTCTACTACCCAGCGTATCCTCACCGGAGACCCACCCCAAAATTATCCGTTGTGTAGAAAAGATTTTCAGAGATTAACTGTGTTGCTACCCATGTTGCAGGTGTCTCCATGCCCTGAAGGTAGGTTTTCAGGTGTGCCGGAAGGAAGCTCCAACGGAGGCCGAGCGGGGCTATGCTGTTTTCCTCTCCCACGACATCAGCTTGCTGCGCCTGTTCGAGACCTTCCTGGAAAGTGCCCCACAGCTCACCCTAGGGCTCTACATTATCCTACACACGAGTAAGGCTGAGACGTTTCAGAGTGAGTGACTGGGGCTTTCCTACTACTGCGCCTGGCATTCAGGGTCCAGAAGCAGGTTTTCCAGGGATTTTGACTGCATTTGCTATAGTGTTGGATATTCCACTAAGATTATGGCGTAACTAGGGTTTGTTTGTTTTTTTAAATCTGTACAGTGGGGATCTGATTGGCTGAGCAGATTTTTAAAAACACTGCTTTGGCGGCGGCCGCTACCATACCACAAGGATCTTCGCTGCATGACTGAAGATATGCAAGGGAACATTCTAAAGCATTACGTTCATTTTGAGAGGCTTCTTGTTAAACAGAGAGCTTCTGCCTGAAATGTTAAAGACTGTTATGTGTAACCTCAGTCCTTGACATTTTGCAATTGCCTCTGCCTCTTCTGGCAGCCATTTTGTTGTTGCGCCCACCACCCTGTGTCAGTTTTAAAGGTGCCTGCAGGCTGAAAAATGTCAGGGAGTCAAGCCTGGCTCAGTATGAAGAAAATGAAATCCTTTTTCTGTTATTTATTTGGAGGGCTAGGCAGAATGCTAGAAGAACCAGGATGTGAAGGGAATGGCAGACTGTTTTTTGTAGGTGTAAAGGGCTTCTTAGAGAGGCTTCAAAGAAAGGAAAATAAGAAAGGTGAGCCATTGCCAGGAATCCAGGTGCAAACTGTGCACAGATTTATGCCGGTGCCCTAAAACATTTGCACAGGCTGCTCCTGTGTAGACTTGTTAGTTATTCTGAGTCCTCATGTGCATCATTTCCTAATAAAACCCAAAATAATCAGTGTTTGGGCTGTAGACATTTTTTAGATTATTAATCCACACTTCTGTTCTCCATAATTTTAAATTGTATCGCTTCAGTTATGCAAACAGACTTCCTTATACTGGCTCTTTTCTTCTCTTGCTCTGAATATTGGCACAGTTTGGCTCTTTCATTATAAAAGGCCGCCGCCGCCTTCTGTGCGACAGCAGACCATTTGCAACTGGATTGGCTCATCCACACAAAAGATTCGCTGTGAAATCTTTGTGCAGAAAAAAAACGGGCTGGAAACCTTCCCAGCTATGGTGTGAAAGCAAATGCTGGGAACAATATTTAATAAATATTCCTTGGCTGCACATAGATGCTGTTTTTGGCCTCATCTAAATCTGTGGGGGGAAATGAACTGGTACAGTCTTCAGGTGGAGCAGGGACCATTCCCTTTTTGTGTGTTTTCTGTCCATGTAAAAGCTTTCTGCAAATTAAAACAAACAACCATATCACACAGATTGGTTCTAGCCTAGCCTTTCATGTTCTGTGCTATGTTTTCACATAGAAACCATGATTAATGTTGGGGAACTTGTAAAGGCTCCAACCCATTGCAGCCTGAAATGGTACATTCCATTGGCCCACCTTATTGTTTGGCCAGCATATTACTACTTCAGTTCTGCAGCAGTGGACCAGGTCTCTATAAGTCCAGAGAACACCTAGCAATTCTGGTTTCTGAGATTGCCCCCTAGGCATCATTTTCCAAGCCTATCCTTCCCATAAAGACTAACAACTCACTGGGTTTTTTTTTTTAAAAAAAAAATCCATTATTTATTTATTTATTATTTGTAATCCACCTTTCTCACAAAGGCCTACCTTTCCTGAGTACATGAAACCTGTGATTCTCATGATAGTGAATTTTGCACCATTAACAACTCTTGTCTTGTGAAGCTTATCATCCATTGTCTCAGGGCTGCCCTCTCCCTTGGTCTCATTACAGCGCTTGGGATTTGCACCTCTTTCGTCTGCATCGCCTGGACTCTCTTGGATTACCACCAGTCCCTGCGCATCTTCCTACGGGACAAGCACAAGCTGGGCATCCTTTCCTCAGCTGTGTACTTCCTGTGGAACTTTCTGTTAGTATGCCCCCGCATCCTGTCCTTGGCTCTCTTCACTGTCCTCTTCCCCAGCTACATCTTCCTGCACTTCCTGGGCGTCTGGGCGGCCATGTTCCTCTGGGTGACACTGCAGGGCACAGACTTTATGGAGCACGCCAGCTATGAGTGGCTTTATCGGGCGGTAGTGGCCGTTGTTCTCTACTTCTGCTGGTTCAACGTGGCTGAGGGGAAGACGCGCTTCCGCAGTGCCATTTACTACACGTTCCTAATGCTGGACAGTGCCCTTCTCACCTGCTTTTGGGTCTGGCACAACCTTCCCTTGAGCTGGGACTCCCCTGTGCTGTATGCACTCCTTGCTGCCCTGCCCTGCAACGGCGTTGGAATCCTCCTGCGATGCATCTACTATCGAAGTTTTCACCCCACACTGCAAACCGCGTCCCTGGCCAGCTACGATGAAGTAGACACCAGAGGGCTAGCAGGCGATGATGCGGCTGTTTCCCAGCCAGAGGTGGTCACAGGCCCCATCAACCAACGGACATACAAACTCTCTCAAAGCCTCTTTGCCAGCCTCTCACAGGACATACGGGGTCAACAAAATGGGGCATTTGGGAACGTCAGCCTTTGAGCCAAGCTGCACGCAGTTGCCCCCCGAGACACTAGCTTGAACCACATTGGTAAACCATTCTTTGCTCCTCTGGAGCCGGGTGTTAAAAGCTGTCCCCAAGAATATGCTGCATAAACTAATCCTGAACAAAAATTCCTAGAATAAGATCCCTCTAGGGAGAAGTTTGTAACCATAGACCAGTTGGTCCCCATCACAGCCCTGAGAACATTTGCCGTGAATTTCATACCAGTGAGTCTCCTGTCCTTTGTATCTCCTCCTCGCTGCTAGATTGATTTGGCCTTGGCGAAGGCAATCCTGACCTGTGTATCCAGTACCGTGGGAACAAAGGAGAGAGGAGCCTTTAGAGGTGCCCTAGCAGTTCACTGGGACCCAGCAGGTGTTCTCAGGACTGTCACTTTCCTTCAGAGGCAAGCTCAGTCTACTCCCAGGGCATCAAAAACAATCTTGAGTAACCTACTTGGGCCTTTAAAGAGGCCAAGATTGTGCAAGATAGTGTTAGCTGCTGCTTGATGAGAGGCCCAGTTTAAACACGGCACTGGTACCCATGTTACCCCATGTGCGAAAATTGTGAAATGTGCCATGCTCAACAGAGAGAATAAGCCTGCTCTCTGGCATGGTTTTGGTATTTTCATATGACATTTGAGAGACTAATTGAGAAATGAGCAAGAGGGTGGCGATAAGAATGACAAAAAAATGCCCAATTTAAACTATGCTGGTGGGAGGGGAGAACCTGCCTGCATGTTGTTGCATGCAGCCAATGTATTTGAGCCACTGTGCATATGTTGTTTAGTGTGCCAGCACATTACCTGCCTAGACTAGGAATCTCTGGCACTCTGGCATTGCATGTGTAATGGCTTGATGTCCCAGTTTAAGTAAAACACTTGAATGATGCAGTATCACTCAGTTGTGGCCAGTCATTTGTCCCTGAAAAACATTCCTGGATTCTACATGTATTGGATCCTTGTTAAAGTTTCACAGGCTTCTTTCAGCCTCCCCTTCCCTCCTTCAGCATCCTTCATTGTCCCATTTAACACTTTTAACCTTAAGCTAGGCCAGTGGGCCCACCCCCGCTGCCTATAGCCTTTTCCACAGACAGTCTCACAACTTCCCATGGTCTGAGTAGTCATCCTGTTTGTGTGTGGGGGAGGTTGCCATGTGGTTAATTTAACTTCGTTTTAATTTAAAAAGTTGTTTACAAGACCGGGATGGGGGCTCAAAGGCCAAACTGGGTGTTATATGGAAGTTCTGGGGTGGGGGGTGGCTACTTAACCCTTTCCCCTTAGGCTTTTTACACACTCAGTTCCTCCCCCCCCTCACAGCTGCTTTTCCACCTGGGGGAGGGGGAAGCCACACCATTCTTTGGTTCCTGGTTGAACCCTCCCCTCAGGTTACTTGTCTTTTTTTTAAAGTCAACTGATTGTTACATGTTGAACCACTTTCTGTTTTCCTGTCAGTGGAGAATGTTAACTTATTGGCCCCTTCGTGAAGAGGTTTAGACAAAAATAAAAGCGTTTCTAGTATAGTTGGAAGTCTCTTACTTCATCAGCACTGACAGAAGATGTCTGAAGACACTTTCAGGGGATGCCATGGCTCTGTGGCAGAGCATCAGCTTGGCTTGCAGAAGGATCCTTCAATCAGAAATACCAAAGCAACCTTGAAGAATATAAACAGAATCTGTTTATAGTGGTATTATATAAACTAACATGCAAACTACAAAGTGTGTTATTTGATTAAAATACATCAAAATACAAGCGGGAAATAAACCCTACTAAAATACAATCTTAAAGGGACTGAGCCAATACTCTTAAGCTAGAAGAACATTCTCTGCAACAGTTGGGAGACAAGTCCCTTGGAGCATGAAGATGTCAAGGTTTGTAATACGTGACAGGCCTGTTTTGAATCAATCTCAAGCTGCTAGTGGGACTTCCTTGTAGTTTAATGTAAGGCTTGTGGGACTTCCAGTAGTTTCCAAGAATTCACAAGCACATGGCGGCAAGTGTCCTGTAGTGACTAGCTTGAGATAGCCACCTGTGAAGCCTTATGAAGACTTAACAGCCTGATAAAGATATCAATTCGAAACAGGCCTGTTGTGTATTACAAACCTTGACATCTTCATGTTCCAAGGGACTTGTCTTCAGCTGCTGCAGAGAATGTTTCTTGTTCTTTTAGCCTAAGAGGATTGTTTACTGGCTTGGCCCCTTTAAGATTGTATTTCAGCAGGGTTGATTTCCCGCTTGTATTTTGTGTGTCTTTTAATGTAATAATGCACTGTGCAGTTTGCATGTTAGTTTATATAATACCACTATAAATATTTTTGTAAAAAACGTTGTTTACATTATTCAAGGTTGCTTTTGTCCTTTTGGGCTGATTATATTGTTGGCAACCTCCTCCTTGCTTGTTTGCTTTTCGATGTGAAGGTTCAGTCCTTGGCATCTCTAGCTGAAAGGCCCAGGCAGGAGGGAACGTGAGAGACTTCCACCTGGGAAAGCCACTGCCAGTCGGACTGGACAACACTGAGATTGAAGGCCCAATGATCTGATAAGGCAGCTTCATGTGTACCTTTCTCTTGAACTCCTTGGAGGAAGGGTGAGGCTGAAATATACACATCAATGGTTCTAATGTGACCCATGAGGCAGGGTTATGCCTTTGAACCTCTGGGCACCTGTGGCATTCTGACACAGGGTGGGGTGGGGGTGGGGGGGCGCCTGCAGAATGGCTGCTATGGGAGCCCAAGACAAAACACAGAGGGAGCCCAAATGCAGGGGACAAGTGGAGTAATTAGAAACAAATACTGGGAAAGAGAAGTGAGAGAACAAAATCAACACTGGTGGCGGCGGCTGCCAAAACATTAATTTGCACAACCAATCAAATCTTCAGTGACCAATCAGAAGCCCTGCCAGCAAGAAGCCCCACTTGGCTACACCCACTTTCCAAAACCACTTGGTGGGCACCATGTTGGGGACCCCTGCCGTAAAGTGTCCATCCAGCTTGCATGCAGGGAAAATTCATACTGAGATTGCTTCAGGGCTGAATTTTCAGGGGGGAAAAATGGAAAAGAACACTTTTTTTATAGAAAATAAAAGACTTTAATTTTTTTCCAGTTCACAGGACACTTCCCATTACATAAAACATGATGTTCAAGGAGTCTTCAGCCATTAATGCCCTCCTGTCAAAATTGCAAGCGCAGCAGACGCCAGATCTGCCTGAAACTAGGTGTCTGTGGGACCCTGAGGGAGAATCGGTGTTTTCAGTAGACACCACAGTACACACATGGATCTCTGTGGCACCCACTGACTCTTACTTGGTGGGAGGGGGGCAGTGGGAGAGAGTTAGTATTCACATTGTAATGAAAACAAACCCAAGCTGGACAGCTGCTTGTCAAAGGAAACTGTCCGCTTCTGCGTCACAGTGGGACCAGTTCAAGCTTGAACGCTATACAGAGAAATCAGCAGAAAAGAACTGAGAACGAGAAGGCAACGAAAAATAAGTTCCAAATTCTTTATGAAGTCCCAAGAGAAACGCAGCCAGAGAGTTTAGTGACATGAGAACCAGGACAGCTTTTATTAACGTGGAAAAGTGTAACTGTCGCCCAAGAAAAATCAGTTAATTGACATCAAGGGGGGGGGGGAGGAGACACTGTATAAATATTGGTATCTGGTGCAAAAATAAGCTCCGCGCACAGCCAAAAGAGGTTTGCTGCAGTACGGATGGGCTTCTGAAAGGTTCTCCTGAGTCAAACCAAAATGCAGAGTGTTGCCTTCTGCTTTCCCTGGCTGCTTGGCACCTCCGTCCGTGAGGCCTACCAATAGCACTCTGTTTAAAGGTGGAATAAGTAACTCGGAAATTCGAAGGCTGCCTGCAACTCCCTTTACGCAGCTGCTCACTCTTGTAGGAGTTTGGGCGGAAGGTTAAGGCACAGAGTTGATTCCCAAAGCCCACACCGACTCATGGCCCTGCTATGAATCTCAAGAGCAACCAGTCAGGCTACAAATCCTGCCTGCCTTCACAGCAAAAATGCACAAAAGTAGAGAATTCCAGAACAGAGTCTGCTTGTACGCTACAGCAGAGATCCAGGGCTTCCTTTGCTTTGGGGGTGGGGGTGGGGGGGGGAAGATGCACTTTTATTCAGTTCAGGACCTGCTATGTTACCTTCAGCTGACTTTGAAGAGATGCTGGCTGCCTAAAACTGGATGAGAACAAGGCAATCCTGTTGCAAGAAGGCAGAGAGACTTTTTTCAGGTTGCTTACATCCCTGCCCAGGATCAACTGTCTCTAGGTTATACTTGGGTGGACCCAAATATCCTCCATGGAGCCTTCTTTCAGTCTGACAAAACTTCCTCCAAGTTAAATGGCTCTTTCTCCAGTGGAAAAGCCTCTCAAGTTGGAGGAAGGCTTCAAACGTTGCTCAATGGAGTGACAGGATGGGGGGGAGGGGCAGGATCCACCCCACTGTGCTTCTGAAAGGAACAGGACCAGCACGCTGGCTGCCTTGCCTAGTCGGAAACAGCACAGTCTCTGTCCCAAAGCAAAGGGGTTCTTGTTCTGACTCCCTGCTGTGTCTTGCTTTACTGAGTTTGCAGGCCAGCGACCATCAGCAGGCAGGAGAGCATGGAAGCAGATCAGTGACAGGGGCATCTTTCTCAGGCGCTGAATTCATCTGCCCCTGTTAGAACCTGCAGTTGATGCACATACAGGCTCCCCCGTGCAAATCAGAAGACCTCCCCCCGTTGGCACATTTGGGATTTTCAGTTCGGCCGGTGAAAGTGTGCATCCCTACTTCTTTACCAAGGAACCAGCTTTTGATCTTACAATTTCTTATCCCGGATCTGAGATGTGTCCTCTGAGACGACAAGCCTCTGGCTCCCATTCTGTCCAGCCCCCCCTCCCCCCCCAAAAAACATGACTGGACGTTAATGAGGACACTGCAGAGGACAACTGAACTGGACTCTTGCTAGGGTCAGAAGGCAGGTGGCTGTGTGAAGGGAAAGCGGGTACTTTCCCAACTGGATTCCTGTGCCTCATACAGCTGCAGTAATGCCAAAGAAAATAACAATAAAAGGGGGCTTTCCTTCTGCTCTATGCATACAGCAAGGGTGATGGAAAGAGGGATGAAATCAGGACATCCAAAATGTGATTATGTACCAGGCATTTCCTCTTCCGTTGCTCAGGAAGTTCCCATCAACCGCATTCTGTCCCACCAGAGCACTCTGAGATTGGTAGTCAAATAGGTGTTCGCTGGAGAAAGACGCTCAGAAGGATCTGGATGTGGCCTCACAGCCACACCGTCATGGTGTTGATCACTGAGGGGAACCAGCCATATTGTCATCCGCCCCAGGCAGACTGGCATGGAGGAGCAGCTCTTTCCGCCCACCTCCCGCCTCTTCTCCCAGCACACAGAAGTAGTTGTGTGACCTTCTGGTGAACATCTATGTACTGCTGCTGTTCTAAGCTTTGGCAAGAAAGGAAAGTTTCGGAACCTTTTTTTTCCTATACAAAAATAAACATCTGTTCAACTTCCTTTTTGTTTCGGAAAGCTAGAGAGGAGCCGGGAGGTGATGGAAGTTACTCTACAAAAGTTTTCATTTCTTTTATCATAATACCACAAAAAGGCCGCACAGTGAGTTAGGTCTTTGCTGCTGGAGATTCCCCGCCCAGGATGCTCCCTGTTCAGTCTCAAATTCCCTTCACCCAAAACAGAGGATGATTAAAGCTCCTGAAACTATGCACCAAGGTGACCGAGGCTTACCGGGTAGAACTCTCGCCACACTGCTGGCGGCTGACTGGGGGAAAGCAACGGGGTGGCGCCTCCTACTGTACACTTCCACTAGCTAGATTTCTTCTTGATGAAACAAAAAAGAGAGTCAAGTCCCCAAGCAGGCTCTTGGTAAGCCGAGCGGGGCTGTTTGGGGGAGCTGCACGCCAAAGTTGCTGTTGCTGGGCTCTTCACAGAAAGTCCAGTTCGAGGGCCTGGTGAAGGGACACCAGGTCGGCGTGGTTCGTGATCCTCCAGAAAGGCATGTTGTGCTGCAAAGAGAGACACAGCGTGGTTAACCAAACGGGCCGAGCACAGCAAGGCTACAAGTTTCTACTCTGTAGCCACAGCTTCAGTGCAAGGAGCCAGGAAGGTGTGGGAGAGAAGGCTCATGGGCTGCCACTTGATGAATGACATCTTAGCTGGTTAACCAGGCAAGCTTTCGTTCATCCATTGAATCGACAAACATTTTCATAGGGATAAAAATGGTGAATCTGATGAGGGGAGAAGCATTCTTTGCATCCCTATGTCACAGGTTCAGGCTCCTGTCACCAGAAGAGGCACGTCTCTTCTAGAACGCACCACAGATCTGTATGGGAACTGGAGGGAAAGTGGCATGGGTACAGCCCAGTCTCATCAGATCTTGGAAGCTAAGCAGGATCCATACTTGGATGGGAGACCCCTGGCGGGGGCTCTGCATAAGAAGGCGGGGTGGCAAACCACTTATGCATCTTCCTTGCTTTGAAAGCCCCTTGCTGGGATCACCATAAGCAACTTGACAGCACTTATGGACAAAAATATATTAAAGAATTAGCTGCTTCATGATTAAAGGCCCTTCTTAAAAATCAAACCGAGTTTTAACCAGCGAATGCAATCGACAAACCCAGGGCTTGCCAATCTTACTCAGAGCTACTTCTGGGTAATGAGAAATATCCCCCTGGCATGTGATTCTGTTCTGTTCTATAAACCAGAAGAACACTAGACACAATGCTATCGGCTAAGCAGCACACAGGGGAAAAAATCCTATGTAATAAAAGCCTGAAACGCAAAAGTCAAGAGAAGATCTTTTCACAATTTTCCTGGATCTTTTAAGGAATGTACACGAGCTACTCAACAGCTCATGAGCTACCTGTTGGAGACTGGGCAAAATAGCCAGATATATTTTTATATATTTATTTTTATTCTCAGTATGAGCACCTGCCTTGTGCAGTTGCTGACAAAATGACCGGCTGCCTGAAGAATGCTGCAAACAGGTCTTTGCTGCTGGAGATTCCCCGCCCAGGCTTAACCGAGGCAGCAATTGTCTACGAACCATCAGAAGACTTACACGGTCCCTCTAAACAGTTCTCCACTTTAGAGGCTGACGAGGCCATCCTAAGCAGAGTTGTATCCTTCTAAGCCTACTGAAGTCAATGGGCTTGGAAGGGTGCAACTCTGGAGAGGATGGTGCTGCGAGCTGTTTAGGGGCACACCCCATGCTGAGAAATCAATATGCACCAAGAATATGTAGACAGAAACCCAGTAAGTGTAATTGATTGCTGTGCTGTCTCAGACACTCAGTAGGAGCCTGCGGGATGAGAGGCCGGCAGCGGCAGCAAGAGAAGCAAAGCAGCTGGGGTGTATCAAGAGGCCACGGCCCAGCAGCAGAACACCTGCTTTGCAAAAAGACGGGCCTTGGTTCAATCGCTGGCATCTCTAGTTTAAAGATCACAGTCAGCTGGTGCTGGGAAAGGCCCTTTTGCCCTTTTGAGACTCCCCCTGAGGTAGTCAGCAACACTGACCAGGGTTCAGTCAGGCAGTTTCCTTAGGTTCAAATTCCTCAAGACGGGGGGCAACAAGAAAAGATCCAGCCCACAGTTACCTGCTTGGCTGCCATCTCTTCATCACGCCCGTCTCCGATCACCACGTACGTCACCTTCTTCCCAAATCGAGAGACGATCCTTTCGAAACAGCTCTCTTTACCTGTCAGGAAACAACCCACACCCCTTTTGTGATTATTTCTATTCGTTTTGTTAAGACATTTTTATGCCGTCTTTCCACCTGATCAGTGTCCCTGAGGCGACAAACATTAAAAACATTTGAAGAAGTAAAAACAACATTTAAAATGATTTAAAAATTCCGTAAAAACACACAAACAAACAACACAAGAATCAGGGAGGAGGACTGATAACTGTTATTGGGGTATGCCAAATGAAACAAAAAAGTTTTCACCCACTAGTGGAAGACACAATAGAGGGAGACAGATTAATGTCCCTGGGCAGGGAGTTCCAAAGTTTTGGTTCCATAACCAAGAAAGCCCTTGCTCCAGCTGCCACCCATCTAGCCTCAGATGGTGAGAACAACCAAAGCAAGGCCCCCAAAGGTGACTGGAGTGAATGGGTAAGGAGCGTTACAGATGTCAATGATGCTGGGTCTAACTGCAGCAGCAGGTGTCTGACCCAAATGCAAGCCAGCTTCCAAGATTAAACCAAGTACATCACTCACACACTTTGGAAACAATATTTTGCAATCATAAGGGTTACAAAGAATAGTTGACTGGATCCTCAAACTGTCAACGAATCCTCCTGTCTCCAACCTGTACCGTCTGATGTTATGAAATCTTTCTTTGATCTCCCTCTCTACACCAGAAGGTGTTGTACTCTCTTACACCACACAAGCCAAGAACCCCCAAGACACAAGCAAACTTACCTATTTTTGTTGCACTATAAATATTTTCAATCGGAAACACTTCGCCTAATCCGTACAACAGGACCTTGGCCAGAGCTGGTACTAGCTGGGTGGTGGTTATTAGAACATTCACACAGTTCTTCCTAGAGGGGAACAGGAGACAGCAAGTCACACAAAAGGCGTTCCAATACATCCCCCGCCACACAGTTCTACAAAGAAAGTGCCATCAACAAACCAACTTCAGATCCTGGCTCGATGGGCTCTAACTAACCACAGTTAGTGGAGCAGCCTGCACTCAGTCACACTAACCACGGTTTGCTTAAGCCATGGTTTTGCCCGATATCTGAATCAAGCCACAGAAAGAGAGAGCATGGCTTGGCCGGCCATTCCAGTCTGTCAAAACTGGTGATAGGAAGTTACTAATCAGTTGCAGAGCCCAGCCCATACAACACTGACAGTGCAGCACAAATCTGCAAAAACCAACAGTGGCTCTGACACAGATTCTTATGGGATGTGGCTTCCTTTGGGTAGCTGGGTACTCAGATAAGGTTTCTCCACTCAGACACAGCAGCAGTCTGAGGAATACACAGTGCTATACATGAACCACATTTCCCCCCCCCCCCCAAGTGCTCTATGACGTCTCTTACAACAGATGGACCAAGCCGGGTATTATTCCCATTTGTATGGTGAGAGGTCCGCGCAGTAGGCACCCACTGCCATACCTGGACTGAATGAGAAGTAGGGACTTCAGTGCTGTTCCCAGCCAGTTATCTGTTAACACTTCTATGTCTTCCCGTAGTCTCTGCAATGCTTCCTTCTTCTCTGGGCTGAGGAGGGCTATTAAAATGAAGATGGATAGACAAGGCAACAAGTTATCCTGTTGGAATGCTGGGAGCACGGACCCAACTCTGCAATTTTTAGCAGCCACATCACAGCAGAATGGTGTAAATGCCATCATTTGGCATCCTCCATACCTCAGTGAGGGACATGGGACAGGGCATTTTGGGGACAGCCCCCAACTTGTGGAACTCCCTGCCCCAAGAAATCAACCTTGCCCTCTCACTGTTGCTCTTCTAGAAGCTGGTGAAATCTTTGTTTTTAATTCCACAACACCTTCGATGGTTTCGTTCCTTAACCTTTGGGTTTCAGTATTTTTAAATTTTATTCTAGATCCAGAGGAGTTAGCCATGTCAGTCTGTTGCTGTAAAATAGTAAAAAGCTCAGTAACACCTTTAAGACTAACAAACGTTATTGTAGCATAGGCTTTTGAGAAACACAGCTCTCTTTGTCTCATCTGACGAAGAGAACTGTTTTTCTCGAAAGCTTATGCCACAATAAGGTTTGTTAGCCTTAAAGGTGCTGCTGGGCTTTTGACTATTTTATTGCATTGTTTTTAATTATTTTGTGTATTATCTTATTTGATTTTATGCAGCATTGGCACTATGGTGGGTTTTAACCATCTGAGGTTTATAAATCTTGCATCGCTGTTTTACAAACCTGCTGTTCTACGTGTTGTTTTTTTATGATCTCTTAATTTAGGTGGGTCCATAAGAAAGCTGGGATACCCACTTTCCAAGAATAAACTTTAAAGACTGGAAATAACAGGGTCCGGTGAGCGGCCTGGGTGTAGCAGATGCTGCAGCAGCGCTACAGACAATTACAAAGTATCTCAAGTCATTTTTATATATATTTTATATTTTTTAATTTTTTTCTTATAAATTATTCACCATTATATTAATTGTCACATAAACATTATCACAGAGAAAGAATCATATATCCAAAATTTTAGTATCGAGTATTTTTATATAACAAAAGATATTGCACAACCCTTTATTAATAACAGGAGGACTGGTATTAATAAAGGGGTTGTGCAATATCTTTTGTTATATAAAAAGACGATACTAAAATTTTGGATATATGATTCTTTCTATGCAATAATGTTTATGTGACAATTAATATAATGGTGAATAATTTATAAGAAAAAGTTTAAAAAATATTAAAACGAATAAATATATAACAATTACTTAAGATACTTTGTAATTGTCTGTAGCATGGTATTTGCTGACTTTTGGTATTTCCGACTTACCGTGGGTCCTATTTTGTTTTTGTGCAGTGCTGCAGTGAGCAGCCGTGGGCATCCGCAGCAATTCGGATGTAACAACAGGGTGCACACAGAGGAAAAGTTCTTTTAAAAAGAGGGGAATGACATCATAATAATGTAGCCCCCCCCCCCCAGACAACCTCTCCCGATTTTTGTCAGCTGGTCTTTCAGCGCTATCAAATTCGGTTTATGTGGCATTTCACAAGGGTACCAGGACGCCAGCCAAGTCTTTAAAGGCAGAGAGCCAGTAAGTGGGAAGAGGGCTGGGCTAGAATCAGGGTGACCTGCAGTGTAATCCTAAACAGAATTACACCTTTCTGAGCACACTGACTTCAGTGGGCAGTCTGGGGTCAATGCCTTTGCCCCCACACTTGCCTCAGGGGACTGCAAGACCCCTTAGACACACCACACCAGCAAGCCCCGATGCTGGGGAAGTCATCTGTCAGGTTGCAGCAGGGTGTGGCCTTGACAGAGTTGACTTGGGAGCAATGATCACTCTAATTTTTCCCCCTACTGAGTGGAGCACATCCTGAGCAGAATATAACTGCTGTCATCTTAAAATGGGCCATGGGCAGTGCAAGACCCTGCGCAGCTCCAGACTGCTGCTGAGTGGGGCTTCCTGTGTTAATAAGCTCACGTGCACAGATTAGAAGGAACACTGCTTGGGAGTCAGCTGGCATGAAGGAACCCGGCTGGCTCACAGTGGCGAGCTCAGCAGCAGAAGCCAACCCACCCGAGTTCCTACTAAAGATGACCTTGCCACTGGGAGCCGGGAGAGCTCTGGTAAAAGGGCAGGGAAAGCAGGTAGCACTGACGTTCTTAGAGGAGACTGGGTGGGACAGCCAGCCCTTTAAATATATCCAGGGGGAAGAGCCGGTGAGCTCACCAACTCAAAAAAAGGATCTATCTGTCTGCCTGTCACTGCTCATATGGCTATCACCTTAAGCAGAAATTAGAACCAAAAAAATTATTTAAAAAGACCTTACTCAGTAAAGACAAGGATCCATTGGCCCAGGGCCTGTCATTCCCCAGGACTGCATCGTGGATGGAGGACTGGCTGAACCTGGGGTTGGTCTTGTGCTGGGGGAGCGTTTAAAAGGTGTGCTCCATAGCAGCCAGGAAGGAAGAGCCAGACCCAATCCATTTCCCCGCAGGTGGGAAGAAGTAATTGGCAGAGCAGAGTGGGTGGGAATCACATGAAGAGAAGCCCCCCTCCTCCCTGTATTCTGAGGCTCTATCCTGGGACACTTGCCCAACAAAAGCAACCCTGGAAAGCTAGACAGCCCTGGACTCAGACCTGACCCCAGTGAAACCTGACATGGGCTTAGGATGGTGTATCTGCATTTGGGATGGCACTGCTGAGTTCCAAACACATGAAGCTTGCTGGGTGACTTTGGGCCACTCTGTCTAGCCTACCTCACAGGATTGCTGTGAGGATAACATAAGGAAGGAAAGACCATTGGTCACTGCCTTTTCCACTCCCTGGAGGCAGGGCAAGATTAAAAAGAAAAATTAATGGAGTGATTTCTGCTTTCCCTTTGCAGAAGCGGTTGACCTATACTGGTTCTATCGCCCTGAGCACTGATAATGACAGAAGAGTTTCCATGTAGGAATGGACACCCTGGCTTCGCACTCACTGCCTCAGCCTGCTGCCAGGGCATACGTGTGGCTTGCACTCACCTCCCACGTTGTTTTTGTATTTGTCGTAGACCTCACGCACTTTCCGATAGCGGAAAGCCAGTTTCCTCATCCAATCTACTCCGCCCTGGACGCCCACCGAACCATGGTTGCCGTTGCTTCCTGCACCACTGAAGCCATCCGTGGCAAAATTATAGTTACTGTGGCAAAAGACACACACACACGCACATTTTGGGTTACAAAAAGAGAGGCTTGAGGTACCTTATGGTGACACAAGTGTTCAGAGAATAGAGCCCCCCCCCGTTTCTGATTACAGCAATACATTTTTAAGCCTTTTTGTATTATAAACTTACAAAATTACCATCAATAGCACTAATAAACAATACACAAATTCATTCAACTACACCCAAACAAGTCGTCTTCTTGCTTACATAGTCCTCCTTTTTCCTTTCTGCCCGATCAGACTAGTGGTCCATCTAGTCCAGCGTCCTGTCTCACACAGTGGACACTGTCAGTTCCTCTGGAGGAACAACAATAGGGTATAGAGGATGATGCCATCCCCTTATGATGCCTCTTGGCACTGGGATTCAGAGGGTGGCTGCCCCTGACTATAGAGGGTCCCCTTAGTCACCATGGTTAGTAGCTACTGATAAGACCTACCCTCCTGGGTTCCCAATCCAAAAACTTCAGAAAACTCAGTATTTTCATGATTGTAGTGATACATTTTATTACTTTGACCTGCGGACATCTTTAAGCTCTTTGCATGAATGAGACACACCTTTGAACTCACATGCCTTAACAACAGGGCAAGACCATTCACGAAAGGGCATGCCTGCCTGTAAACATACACTGTGGTCACGCAACTTTTTCTCCTGCTTACCAAGGGCTACAGAACATGAAGGAGCTGAAGGAAACAGGTGGCCCAAAACTCTAGGAGGAAAGTTGCCAAGAGTTTCATTTCTCCCCTGAGTAAGAAAGACCACTTTGACTCACAAGAAGAATTTGGGGGATTAACCAACTGCTCATTGGCCAGCTTTGGCTCTTGTGCCTAACATCAAATTACCTCTTTTCCGAACAAAAACGAAACCTCCAAGTTAGAATGTTCACAGAAATACGAGCAGCATGTGCGTTTGCTAATAGGGGCGTTTGTGGAAGGCCCTTTTAAAATACATTGATTCAACTGCGCTGCTCACTCATCGCACATGGGACAAAATGAAGTACACAGAATCAAAAAGTTTCACCTTAAATCCTGCCCATTGTCATCGGATGCAACGTCTTCCACGTGGACTTGGTCGCATTCCTGTAAGAGAGCACACGAAGCGAAGGATTGTCAGTGAATCTGTTTTCTGGGCTCTGGAAGGCACAGGCAGCCAGGGGACAGGGATGTGGTACAAATCGGCACAAAGATCAGCTGCTTCAGTTTCAGTTCATACTGATTCCCTGTAACATTTGCTTTGCTCTTCAAGGCCAAGAAACGTCAATATGGTGCCCATCATCCACTACGATGGTTTAAGTTGAGAATGCAGAAGGCAATATGTACCTCTAAATCGTTGAAAAATAGATGTGTATCAGCCACTTCAAAAATCATTTCCTCCATAGTCAAACCAGAGCCGATCACTAGAGTTGGATCCTAGAACAGAGAACAAGGCAATGGCTTTATGCATTGTAGTCAATGTTTCCAATATAAAAGGAGAGACTCTTAAAGAGCCTGGGAGCTATTCTATACCAAAGTAGCTGGCACAAAATCAAGGAATTCTCTGCCAACGTGTCTGTCTGTATCTGAAGAAGTGAGCAGTGACTCATGACAGCTCATCCCCTGCCACAAATTTTGTTAGTCTCTAAGGCGCTACTGGACTCTTGCTCTTTTCTACTGTCTGTATCATGAGAGATATTCTACTCCGATTGCAGAGAGAATGCTGTGATTGCAATTTCCTGATTTATTTGACAAAGTTATGACTAGAGTTCTATCAAATCCCCTGAAATGTGCATATACTCACAGGAATGAAGAAATGGTTTATTAGTGCCACAGACCAGCACAATAATACATACAACACCAAACACAGCAGTTAGGCAATATGCACTTAAAATACTGCCAGGGAGAAAACAAAAGAAGCATTCAAGAATAAAAGTTTTCCCTGATACCTCCATGCAAGATACGGTATATGAGTTTTCAACAGAAACAAATGAGAAACTCCACCACAAAAACAAACAACGCTCACCATACCTTCCCATATTTCTGGGCATACGATCCAGTAAGGAGAGAATGAAATATTATGATGGTTTCATCCAAGTCCCAAAGGAACACTCTCTGTGGAAGGAATTACAAAGGGAGGTTAAATATGGGGATTTGTCAGCAGCCAAAAACACCTTCTTGTTTTGGCAACAGAATCTGAGACTTCTTACAGAAGAGTTTTAATTCTAGGGGTTTGCGTCTGTCTGTCTTGTTCAGGTGTGACGACACTGCACTGAAAAACAGGTTGCTTACCTGTAACTGGTGATCTTCGAGTGGTCATCTGTGCATTCACACCCATGGGATCTAGTGCGCATGCGCTGGATCGATCGGTGCTGTAGCAAGCTCTTTTAACGGATTTTCGCACCCAGACCTTGGGCATGCACAGGAACCCCACCACGCATGCCCAGAGGGGTGGGCGCGGACATCCCGCCAGTTCCTTCAAACCGCTGCAAATCAACCCCTATTGAAAATGTAGAAGCTGACAGCAGCGGGGAAGGCGGGCGGGTGGTGTGAATGCACAGATGACCACTCGAAGATCATCAGTTACAGGTAAGCAACCTGTTTATCTTCGACGTGGTCTCTGTGCTTCACACCCATGGGAGATTAGCGAGCAGTGGCCTACCTGGAAACATCCCGTCAGTTCCTTCAAGCCGCCGCAAATCAACCCCTATTGAAAATGTAAAAGCTGACAGCAGCGGGGAAGGCGGGCGGGTGGTGTGAATGCACAGATGACCACTCGAAGATCATCAGTTACAGGTAAGCAACCTGTTTATCTTCAACGTGGTCTCTGTGCTTTACACCCATGGGAGATTAGCGAGCAGTGGCCTACCTGGAAGAGGGTGCTGGCAGGTCCTTACTGCGTAGCCGAAGACAGAATGAGACGTCTCATGTTGGTATTGGTGTTCTTACGGACGTCTAGGGCATAGTGCCTGATGAAGGTGTT